AGGTAATACATATTTTAAGAAAAAGAGGATAAATAAGTATACAAGATATGATGTAGGGCAAAATGACAGTAGTTTGTTGGATTATGTGTTGGTAGATAAAAGACTGTTGAGTAGACTTCAGGATGTACATGTTTATAGAGGGGCCACAGATATATCAGATCACTTTCTAGTTGTAGCTACACTGAGAGTAAAAGGTAGATGGGATACAAGGAGAATAGAAGCATCAGGGAAGAGAGAGGTGAAGGTTTATAAACTAAAAGAGGAGGCAGTTAGGGAAAGATATAAACAGCTGTTGGAGGATAGATGGGCTAATAAGAGCATAGGCAATGGGGTCGAAGAGGTATGGGGTAGGTTTAAAAATGTAGTGTTAGTGTTCAGCAGAAGTTTGTGGTTACAGGAAAGTGGGTGCGGGAGGGAAGAGGAGCGATTAGTGGAATGATGATGTAAAGAGAGGAGTAAGGGAGAAAAAGTTAGCTTATGAGAAGTTTTTACAAAGTAGAAGTGATGCAAGGAGGGAAGAGTATATGGAGAAAAAGAGAGAGGTTAAGAGAGTGGTGAAGCAATGTAAAAAGAGAGCAATTGAGAGAGTGGGTGAGATGTTATCAACAAATTTTGTTGAAAATAAGAAAAAGTTTTGAAGTGAGATTAACAAGTTAAGGAAGCCTAGAGAACAAATGGATTTGTCAGTTAAAAATAGGAGAGGAGAGTTATTAAATGGAGAGTTAGAGGTATTGGGAAAATGGAGGGAATATTTTGAGGAATTGTTAAATGTTGATGAAGATAGGGAAGCTGTGATTTCGTGTATAGGGCAAGGAGGAATAACATCTTGTAGGAGTGAGGAAGAGCCAGTTGTGAGTGTGGGGGAAGTTCGTGACGCAGTAGGTAAAATGAAAGGGGGTAAGGCAGCCGGGATTGATGGGATAAAGATAGAAATGTTAAAAGCAGGTGGGGATATAGTTTTGGAGTGGTTGGTGCAATTATTTAATAAATGTATGGAAGAGGGTAAGGTACCTAGGGATTGGCAGAGAGCAGGCATAGTTCCTTTGTATAAAGGCAAAGGGGACAAAAGAGAGTGCAAAAATTATAGGGGGATAAGTCTGTTGAAGGAGGGGTGTTAATGTTGCAGTTTAAAAACTGTAGTGTAAAGCACCCTTCTGGCAAGACTGTGATAAAGTGAATGATGGTGAAAGTTTTTCTTTTTCGGGCCACCCTGCCTTGGTGGGAATCGGCCAGTGTGATAATAAAAAAAAAAAAAGTCTGTTGAGTATACCTGGTAAAGTGTATGGTAGAGTTATTATTGAAAGAATTAAGAGTAAGACGGAGAATAGGATAGCAGATGAACAAGGAGGCTTTAGGAAAGGTAGGGGGTGTGTGGACCAGGTGTTTACAGTGAAACATATAAGTGAACAGTATTTAGATAAGGCTAAAGAGGTCTTTGTGGCATTTATGGATTTGGAAAAGGCGTATGACAGGGTGGATAGGGGGGCAATGTGGCAGATGTTGCAGGTGTATGGTGTAGGAGGTAGGTTACTGAAAGCAGTGAAGAGTTTTTACGAGGATAGTGAGGCTCAAGTTAGAGTATGTAGGAAAGAGGGAAATTATTTCCCAGTAAAAGTAGGCCTTAGACAAGGATGTGTGATGTCACCGTGGTTGTTTAATATATTTATAGATGGGGTTGTAAGTGAAGTAAATGCGAGGGTCTTGGCAAGAGGCGTGGAGTTAAAAGATAAAGTATCACACATAAAGTGGGAGTTGTCACAGTTGCTCTTTGCTGATGACACTGTGCTCTTGGGAGATTCTGAAGAGAAGTTGCAGAGGTTGGTGGATGAATTTGGTAGGGTATGTAAAAGAAGAAAATTAAAAGTGAATACAGGAAAGAGTAAGGTTATGAGGATAAAAAGATTAGGTGATGAAAGATTGGATATCTGATTGGAGGGAGAGAGTATGGAGGAGGTGAATGTATTCAGATATTTGGGAGTGGACGTGTCAACGGATGGGTCTATGAAGGATGAGGTGAATCATAGAATTGATGAGGGGAAAAGGGTGAGTGGTGCACTTAGGAGTCTGTGGAGACAAAGAACTTTGTCCTTGGAGGCAAAGAGGGGAATGTATGAGAGTATAGTTTTACCAACGCTCTTATATGGGCGTGAAGCATGGGTGATGAATGTTGCAGCGAGGAGAAGGCTGGAGGCAGTGGAGATGTCATGTCTGAGGACAATGTGTGGTGTGAATATAATGCAGACAATTTGTAGTTTGGAAGTTAGGAGGAGGTGCGGGATTACCAAAACTGTTGTCCAGAGGGCTGAGGAAGGGTTGTTGAGGTGGTTCGGGCATGTAGAGAGAATGGAGCGAAACAGAATGACTTCAAGAGTGTATCAGTCTGTAGTGGAAGGAAGGCGGGGTAGGGGTCGGCCTAGGAAAGGTTGGAGGGAGGGGGTAAAGGAGGTTTTGTGTGCGAGGGGCTTGGACTTCCAGCAGGCGTGCGTGAGTGTGTTTGATAGGAGTGAATTAAGACTAATGGTTTTTAATACTTGACGTGCTGTTGGAGTGTGAGCAAAGTAACATTTATGAAGGGGTTCAGGGAAACCGGCAGGCCAGACTTGAGTCCTGGAGATGGGAAGTACAGTGCCTGCACTCTGAAGGAGGGGTGTTAATGTTGCAGTTTAAAAAGTGTAGTGTAAAGCACCCTTCTGGCAAGACAGTGATGGAGTGAATGATGGTGGAAGTTTTTCTTTTTCGGGCCACCCTACCTTGGTGGGAATCGGCCACTGTGATAATAAAAATAATAATAATAATAATAATATATACGTTCAATGTAATTATATGCATAATAATATTCGTAATATAAATTATAAGAATACATACATACTAATAAATAATAATAATAATAATAATATAAGCATTAGTCAGAGGGCAGAAGAGGGGTTGTTGAGATGGTTTGGTCATTTAGAGAGAATGGATCAAAGTAGAATGACATGGAAAGCATATAAATCTATAGAGGAAGGAAGGAGGGGTAGGGGTAGTCCTCGAAAGGGTTGGAAAGAGGGGGTAAAGGAGGTTTTGTGGGCAGGGGGCTTGGACTTCCAGCAAGCGTGCATGAGCGTGTTAGATAGGAGTGAATGGAGACGAATGATACTTGGGACCTGACGATCTGTTGGAGTGTGAGCAGGGTAATATTTAGTGAAGGGATTCAGGGAAACCGGTTATTTTCATATAGTCGGACTTGAGTCCTGGAAATTGGAAGTACAATGCCTGCACTCTAAAGGAGGGGTTTGGGATATTGGCAGTTTGGAGGGATATGTTGTGTATCTTTATACGTATGTGCTTCTAAACTGTTGTATTCTGGGCACCTCTGCAAAAGCAGTGATAATATGTGAGTGTGGTGAAAGTGTTGAATGATGAAAGTATTTTCTTTTTGGGGATTTTCTTTCTTTTTTGGGTCACCCTGCCTCGGTGGGAGACGGCCGACTTGTTAAAAAAAAAAAAACTAATTAAAAACAAAATGACTATTTCTGTTTATGATACAAAAGTTTCATGCAGCTTCATATTCAGTGCATCATTTTATGTTGCTCAAATCCAGTAAATGAAGCTAAAGCTGGAATAAATTACTGAGTGTTATTTGTGCAGCTATTTGTCTTGTATATATAGATTTTATAAAAAAAAAAGTCATAGACAAACTATGCAACAAATGTTTAAAGCTGCTGCTGTCTTGTCAACTTTGGGAAACTGTGATCAGTAATGGGCTTCTACCTGTTTTTCTCTTTAAAGTACAAATTTTTAAGTTTGTTTTAATTATAGATGACAGGGATTTTGTAGTCTGAATACAGGTTAAGGGAAAAGTTTGATTTCACCAAAGGTACATTTGTCATTAGAACAACAATTGTCAAAGTTCTTAAATTTTGTTTTAGCATAGTGTATACTGTACTAGTTCACAGAGAACATGAAATGGACACACCAAAGCAGTACTCTTCATCGTACTTAAAAGTTACTGGGGAAAGAAGTGCAATGAATGTACATTGTCATGTTTCTTGTCTGCTAGTTACTACAGTGTTTGGACTCTAATAAGATTCTACTTTGGATAAATTAATGAGATTAAAAACTGGGTTGAGGTTCTGTAGTAAATTGTTAAAAATATTGGAGTAATAATTAGAGATGTTATGCACAGATATTTTCTATGAATAGTATCAATTTTATTTTTATTTTTGTTGTATATTATTATATGTTATTGAATGGTGAACGTGATACTGTAACGAGCTTGTGAATTACATTATGTCATGGAGACATCTTTATTCTTTTATTACGAATATTAAAAATCAACACTTGCATGCAAGCCTTAGCCATTTTTAAGAAATGTTTCAGTTATAATTGTTCACAGTGGTGTTCTGTAATAGCACTTTGTAAATGGTTTAGATTAGCTATTCTTTTATTCTAGTATATGTGCATTTTAGGGCACATTCTAATGTTTAGAATAGAATTTATTCTTTTTTTTTTGTTAGTTTATGTGCATTTTGGGGTATAATGTTAATTATGAATTTGCTATATTTGATTTTGTTTAATTTTTATTTTTCTCTTCTCCCCATCCCTGCCTGCTCTGCTTCTCTTCTTGCTCCCTGCTTGCCTTCTTTCTTTGTATTTTATTATTATGATTGATTGTGAATGGAAAATTGTGTCTGTGACTGATATATCTTGATTCAATATGTATACCTGAAATTTAATTTAATATTTTTTTATGTGCATCTGTTTGTGAATTTGTCTCGCTTATTCTTTTACCTGTATAATATGGTTATCCTTTGATTCCCTCTTAATTAAAAAATTCTTTTTAATTTCTCTGTGCATGAAATTAACAATGGAATTTCCTTATTTGTTTTGGTTATTTAATAAAATGACTCTCTCCTACTTGCATGCTTTATCTAATACTGCCAAACCTTATCCACCTCCTTATTTCTACCCCTATGCCTTACCCTGCCTATCCTATATAGCAACCTACTCCAATGTTCCAGCAACAAATCCTATGGATTCAAAACGTCGTGCAGAAAGTTGGAAGAAAAATCGGCGAGCACTTGCTTATTCAACTGTCGGAACCCCAGACTACATAGCACCAGAAGTTTTTATGCAGACAGGCTATGGACAAAGTTGTGATTGGTGGAGCCTTGGTGTTATAATGTATGAAATGCTAATAGGTAAGAGGCTTGTGATTGTGTTGTTTATCTTTATATATATATTGTTACCACTTTCCACCTCTTGAATTTGCTAAGGCATTTGTCAAGTGTAATCATGGAATAAAATTACGTTAAATAAGATTACTAGGCATAACAGGGAAAGTAGGCAAATGGGGTTAAAATTTTCTAACAAATAGAATATAGTAATAGTAATGTAAAATCTAGTCTCAGCAATATAAAAAGCAAGGTTCTAGTGCCAACCTGTTTCTCATTCTCATAGTGAACATAGATAAAAATACAAACAGCTATGGATCGTCCTTAGCAGACAACACAGAAGTTAGCATTGAAAGTCTTCCAGTGGGCAGTAGAAAATAACATAATGGTCATTGGGGACAAATTCCATTTGCTCATATATGAAATGAAAAACGACCCCAACAGGAGAATGATATAAAATACACGTGAGGGTCATCCCATAGAACAAAAAAAAAAAATCTGTAAAAACCTAGGTATAATAATGTCAGCTGACCTATTTGTTAAACACAATACAGCAAATGCCAGGAGAATGGCAGGGTGGATAATGAGAACTTTCAAAACAAGAGAAATAATGCCAGTGGTACCACAAATTCCAACCACGTGTTCTCCCTCGCTTGGAACACTGCTCAGTGTTGGAAGCTCATTCAGGACAGGTAAGATAAAAAAGCTGGAAAAAATACATAGCATGTTTACAGCCCATATTCAACCACCACCTCAAAGACTGGAAATGTTCTCTCTGGAGAGAAGGCAAGAGAGTGACATGATATATATCTGGAAGATAATGGAGGACTTGGTTCCAAATCTGTACTCTATCATAACAGTATTCTGGTAGGAGAGATATAATGTGAAACTCATTGAAAAATGGAAGCCATGGGCACAATTCAAGAACACTGTAAATATCCATGGGCCTAGACTCTTCAGCCTGCTACTAGTGGATATTAGAAATATGGCTGGAAATAGTGTAGAAGTTTTCAAGAGGTAACTGGATCTATACCTATGTGGCATGCTAGTTCAACCAGGCTGTGATGGATATGTGAGCTAGCAGGATGCCTGTTAATAGCATCAGCCAGGTTGACCAAGCAATCAAGAGGGAGGCCTGACTCTGAGCCAGGCTGCAGAGTAAGAAGTGGGTATGTGTTTTGGGCTAGGTTAATTCAGGTGCATAAATATATTCTTCTTTCAACACACCGTCCGTATCCCACCGAGGCAGGGTAGCCCAAAAGGAAAAACGAAAGTTTCTCCTTTTACATTTAGTAATGTATGTAGGAGAGGAGGTTACTAGTCCCTTGCTCCCGACATTTTAGTCGCCTCTTACAACACGCATGGCTTACGGAGGAAGAATTCTGTTCCATTTTCCCATGGAGATAAGAGGAAATAAACAAGAATAAGAACTAGAAAGAAAATAGAAGAAAACCCAGAGGAGTGTGTATATATGTGCTTGTACATGTATGTGTAGGGTGACCTAAGTGCAAGTAGAAATAGCAAACCATACCCCCGGCCGGGATTGAACCCGCGGTCATAGAGTCTCAAAACTCCAGCCCGTCGCGTTAGCCACTAGACCAGCTAGCCACATTAAGATTCATCCAACTAGGTATATTTCTACACCATAGGAAGGTTAGCACAGGCACCACTGTGACCACAAATGCAAGTTTTTACAGACGAATCTCCAGCTAGCGTGGTGTAGAAATATACCTAGTTGGATGAATCTTATTGTGGCTAGCTGGTCTAGTGGCTAACGCGACGGGCTGGAGTTTTGAGACTCTATGACCGCGGGTTCAATCCCGGCCGGGGGTATGGTTTGTTTGCAATCGTGTCATTACGATTTCTTGAGTCAGAAATAGCAAGACGTACCTGAAATCTTGCATGTTCATGAGACAGAAAAAAGGACACCAGCAATTCTACCATCTTGTAAAACAATTACAGTGGACTCCCAGTTAACGATATTTTTTCATTCCAGAAGTATGTTCAGGTGCCAGTACTGACCGAATTTGTTCCCATAAGGAATATTGTGAAGTAGATTAGTCCATTTCAGACCCCCCAAACATACACGTACAAACGCACTTACATAAATACACTTACATAATTGGTCGCATTGGGAGGTGATCGTTAAGCGGGGGTCCACTGTACAGGCTTTTGTTTTACACTCACTTGGCAGGACGGTAGTACCTCCCTGGGCGGTTGCTGTCTACCAGCCTACTACCTAGGATAAATATATTACAGCTAAACAAAAAACTGTTTTTGAGGTGAACATATATGTTTCGTAAAGAAGACGTGTTAAATGCATGAGACTAACAATAGTATTGTCACAACAGGTTATCCACCATTCTGCAGCGAAAATCCGCAGGAGACGTACCGAAAGGTGATGAGTTGGAGAGAGACCCTGGTCTTTCCCCCAGAGGTCCCTATCTCAGAGCAAGCCAAGGACACTATTTTACGCTTATGTTGCGAGGCTGATCGCAGAGCAGGGTCACATCAAGGAATAGAAGATCTTAAGAGCATGAAATTCTTCCAGGTGTGCTGTTGTATAATAGTATTACAGTATTGCTAAAATATATGTAAACATTTTTGTGTAGGTAAAATGATCTAGTATACTTTATTTGCACTTACATATTTTTTTTGATTATTAAATTTCTATACTTTTATAACAGCAAGTTGACTGGGAACATACTAGGGAACGCCCCTCAGCAATTCCTGTAGAGGTTAAATCCATTGATGATACCAGCAATTTTGATGAATTCCCAGAAGTTGACATCAAATTGCGTAAGTATTTACATAGTATTTACTTAGCTTTGACCCAAGTAATATACAGCCTCTCCTCACTTGACGACGGAGTTCTGTTCCTAAGACCACATCGGTAAACGAATTTATCGCTAAGTGAGGAGCATACTATAATGGTAGTGAGTTTGTGTTAACAATTTCTGATATTGTTTTAATGTCACATTTCCACAATTTATAACATTTCTGTCATATTTTTACATATTTATATCGTAGTGGTGTGTATATTGTAATAGAGAATAGAGGGAATCAGCTCTAATATACATTATTTAGGTATGCATACTGGTCAGAGAGCCCATCGTAAGTCCGAGTCATTGGTAAATAAGTACATCACTAAGTAAAGAGAGGCTGTATATATTATTATTGTCAATGCAGAAATTATAATAATCTTCAATACTGAATATATATAACTGTAAACTTTTAAAACTTAAGCCGATTAGAAATCATGCTAAAAAGATTTAGAAAATACTATTTTATTGATCTGAATATACTGTACTGTATACAAGATTTAAAAATTGTATAAAGTTTTTGAAATATTTAATAGATAAATATATAATGTCAGTAATTACATTTGCAGTATACTTTTATTATGCTTACCATAATGTATTTGTTTAAAACAAACATTCTTTAGAAAACCATAAAACATGATCATAATAAAAATTATATGCTGAAAGTACAGTAAACCCTCGCAGAACAACCAAGATACCTTTCATTGAAGTTCTAAGTCAAGCCAATTTTTGTTTTTTAACACATTGGACATTTCCCACTGAGGCCGGGTGACCCATAAAGAAAGAAAAAACCCAAAAAGAAAGAAAAAAAACTTTCAGCATCATTCAACACTTTCACCATCACTCATACATAATCACTGTCTTTGCAGAGGTACTCAGATATGACAGTTTAAATGTCCCTCCAAACTGCCAATATCCCAAACCCCTCTGCTCACACTCCAACAGTTCGTCAGGTCCCAAAAACCATTTGTCTTCATTCACTCCAGTTTAACACATGCATGCTTGCTGGAAGTCCATGACCCTTGCCCACAAAACCTCTTTTACCCCCTCCCTCCAACCTTTTCGAGGACTACCCCTACCCCGCCTTCTTTCTCCTACAGATTTATTCGCTCTCCAAGTCATCCTACTTTGTTCCATTCTCTAAATGACCAAACCACCTCAACAACCCCTCTTCAGCCCTCTGACTAATACTTTTAGTAACTCCACACCTCCTAATTTCCACACTCCGAATTCTCTGCATAATATTTACACCGCACAGGTGCACCGCTCACCCTTTTCCCCTCATCAATTCTATGATTCACCTCATCTTTCATAGACCCATCCGCTGACATGTCCACTCCCAAATATCTGAATACATTCACCTCCTCCATACTCTCTCCCTCCAATCTGATATCCAATCTTTCATAAATAAACATAAGCATGGTAAAAGAAATGGAATGAGCTGAACCAGTGCTTAAAACTAGATATAACATGGCTCTATCACTTAAATCACTTGAAAGATGGGCAAGACCAGAAGCAAGAGCTTTTCCCTTTTTCTCTGTGCTGTCCCACAAACAAATGGGTGATTACTTCATTCTCTTTTTTCCCTCTTCACACACACCAGTACCACTATTGCATTTTACAAATACAGCAGCATGATGGTAGTGTTTATACATAGAGAGTTTTATCTGCATATACAGTTTGCTTTAATTCCTATTTTATGGATTAAATTATTCTTAATATTTTTTACTGGTGACTTATGACTTCCAGCAGGTGTGCATTAGCGTGTTCGATAGGAGTGAATGGAGACGAATGGTATTTGGGACCTGACGATCTGTTGGAGTGTGAGCAGGGTAATATTTAGTGAAGGGATTCAGGGAAACCGGTTATTTTTATATAGTCGGACTTGAGTCCTGTAAATGGGAAGTACAATGCCTGCACTCTAAAGGAGGGGTTCGGGATATTAGCAGTTTGGAGGGATATATTGTGTATCGTTATACGTATATGGTTCTAAACTGTTGTGTTCTGAGCACCTCTGCAAAAACAGTGATTATGTGTGAGTGAGGTGAAAGTGTTGAATGATGATGAAAGTATTTTCTTTTTGGGGATTTTCTTTCTTTTTGGGTCACCCTGCCTCGGTGGGTGTTAAAAAGAAAAAAAAAAAACTTGTGGCCCTAATTATTAAAACGGTGAATAGGCCTTAAACTGAAATGGAAGTACAGTGCCTGCACTGCAGTTGAAAAAGTGAGGTAAGACTAAATTTAGAAAGTGTGAGCACCACATGCTGTCTGTTCATCTGTTTGTTGTGAGATTTGCATTGTCTTTAATCTTGCCAACCATGAGTGGTTGTGAAAGTGATCAAAGGTCTAAGGTGTTTATTTTGGCCACTATTTAAAGATAAATTCTGTAGATATTTGTTCTACGGTGGGGCTACTGTACAACTATTAAATAGTTCATGCAAGATAAAATTTCACATCTAGTGAAAACATTATGATCAGGCAGGAATCACGTGGGAATCAGTCTGTCAGCCTTATTTTTTTTTGTTATCGAGGGTTATCTGATAAAATATTATCTTGCACATAAGTTGGAAATTTAAATCCTGTAAAAATAATTTGTAGCAGCATTGGTCTTATCATAATTGATGAACAAGTATAAATTCATTTATGTTTTTAATGCTGATGGTGCAAAGATTAATGGGGTTGACATATTGATTCAAACATAATTCCTCTTTCTCATATAATAATTTTTGCTTATAATGTACTAAAATTATAATTTAACTCATCAATTCATCATACAGTATCTGTAATTTGATTTTTGTAAGTGAAAACATGAACATTGTCATATGACTCAGGAAAATTTTGCAGACCACATTATTAGTGTTTTAGCTACGTAAGAATGTGCACTAATTACACATTTACATAAATTATGTTAATGTTCAAAAGTTGGTATTCCAAAATTATATTTTTTTTTTACATTTCTTATGAAAGTATTTCATTACCTTGGTAAAACTTTTTTTTTTTTTTTTTTTTTTTTTTCCCTAAAGATTTCAGTGTTTATAATTTGACATGCAGAATCTTCCAGACACTACCCACTAATGCCCTCTGCACTTTCATCTTTAGAATATGTAGTTTAAGTCATTAAAGTATTTCTCAAAAATACTTCTAATTGATGTTAGATTAATGGACATGAGCTACTAATAAGACATTTACTATGGCTCACCAGCAGCTTTATTAAGCCAATACATACAGTATGGGGACACAGAGTACATAAAGGAAAATACACATTGTGAAATGGGGGAGGCAGGGCTTAATCCAGAAATTGTAAAAGTATCCATAGTAGTAGTAGTTGTAGTGTTAGTGTTATATGATGGAGGAATTCAGTGGTTTAAGGAGGATTTATGATGATATTTCAGAAATGACGAAGTTGCTTTATGTAAGTGTTTCCAAAATAGAGATTAATTCTGTTTTTAGGCACTTTTGGTTACTGGTGTCTTGTTCTTTAATCACTAAACAGATGTTCCATTTCATCAAGTGGCTGGTAGTGTTTCAGTGTTGTACACATGCGTTGTTCAAGTCGTTTCATCTGTACGCATAAACGTATTCATTTAGAAGTGTCACTAGGATTCTAGCTGTTTCCCCACTATGTATCTTGTTACAATCTCTGTACAGGGCAATGTAAATTCAGCATTGACTGGGTCAGGGTTCTTCACGTTGGTCCTGGTTAAGTCTTTAGTGGATATACAGTAATGGTCACTATGGTGATTAGTCTGTCCTTATGTGAGGGCTTTGGAGATGTTCAGGACTGCTTGACTTTTGGGAAGGATGATGATTTTGTTCAAAGTTGAGTCAGTGTGCAGAGATTTGATTCTATGGAGTGATCATTTCTTGCAGTCTTTGATGAAAAGAAAGGAAAGTGTACTTGGTGAAAGTTTGGCTTATGTAGATGCATTCTTTATATAGAAACTTGGAACTTCTGATATGGTATGCTGTCATGAAAAAGTTAGTCTTTGGTTAGCCTAACTTGTTTAGTCTTTGTATCTGGACTGAAGTAGAAGTAGGCCAGATAACTTTTGTTTGTACATTTGAAATCTTAAATCATCATTTGTTTTCTGGATGAGGATGTCAATGAATGGTAACCTCTCAATGGTCTCACTAAGTGTGAACTGGAATGCCAGTTCAGCATCCATAACCTCTGCAGGTTATGGATGTCAAAAATTTTGGGAGTGATTAGGATGACATCACATGATGTTGAAGCATCAGTTTTTAAGTGTTCCATGTATATGTTTGCAAAGACAGTGCTGATAAGAAAATCTGTGCATCTCATATGTTTTAGAGGTTGCTGTTGAAGAGAAGCAGTAGAAAGTTCATGCAGAGCTCAATCAAATTAACGAATAATCTCCAGGAGGCAAAGATAGCTAGGTCTCTGATATGGTTAAGGAGGTTGCCTGAGTGCTTTGAATGGTAGGGGCTGTTGATTCTCATTTGGCAGGAAAAGTGTTTGAGGAGAACTCAGACTAATTTATGTAGTACACTGCTTATTCCTGATGTGATCAGTCTTAAGGGTATGTTGTATTTATGGGTTTTGGGCAGTCTGTATATGCGTGCAGGTAGGTTGAGAGCTATTAGTGAGTACAGAAGTTTCTTCTCATCAGTGCACTTCAGTCTTTGCTGAGATTTGAATAGGAAGTCTTTCATGAGTATCTCCCTCTGTATGTGCTCTCATGTATTCATATGTAGATTGGTTGTTCAAATGGTCCATCATTTTGGTGCTGTAGTTCTTGAAGTTGAATATGCTGAGTCAGCCCCTCTTTGGTGCTATGGTGATGACACTGGAGGAGTCTTTGTCAAGGTTCTGAAGGACATCGATGTACCTGCTCTGAATCTTGGCAGAGGAAGGTCTTCACATGGCTGCAGTTAGGATGTCTTGTATATAAACTTTCTGGAAGTTGCTGTCATTGTGCCTGTGGCTTGTGGTGACCAAATCAGTTGTTGGTTCATA